TGCGTGTTTTTGGGTGTAAAGCTTTTGTACATGTGCCAAAGGACGAGAGATCCAAATTAGATGTCAAGACGAGACAGTGCATCTTTGTTGGCTATGGTCATGATGAATTTGGCTATAGACTTTATGATCCTGTTGAGAAGAAGCTTGTCAGAAGCCGTGATGTTATCTTTATGGAGGATCAGAATATTGAAGATATTCAGAAGATGGAGAAGTCAGAGTCTCAAAGTTATGATGATCTTGTTGATTTGAATCCAACTCCCATGGCTCATACGCCCAATGCTACCAATGGAGATCTGAATGATGATAACAGTCATGTTCCACATGATTTTATCGATGGTAATGTTGAAGAAGAATCAAATGAGGTACATAATCAACCTCATGTTGATAACAATTCACCTACAGTTGCTCTCAGGAGGTCTACAAGGGAAAGAATTCCCTCTACTCGTTATTCTACTAATGAGTATGTGCTCCTTACTGACGGGGGAGAACCTGAGTGTTATGAAGAGGCTATGGAGAACGAGGATAAGGAGAAATGGGTTGAGGCAATGAATGATGAAATGAAATCATTGCATGATAATCATACTTTTGAGCTAGTCAAGTTGCCCAAAGACAGAAAAGCTTTGAAGAATCGGTGGATCTTTAAGTTGAAGAATGAACAGGGTGCTTCGTCTCCACGATACAAGGCTAGACTAGTGGTTAAAGGCTACAGTCAGAAAAAGGGTATTGACTATGAGGAAATATTTTCTCCAGTTGTGAGGATGTCTTCGATTCGAGTTGTTTTGGGTCTTGCAGCCAGCCTTGACTTGGAAGTTGAACAGATGGATGTCAAAACAGCATTCCTTCATAGTGATTTGGGGAAGGAAATTTATATGGAGCAACCGGAAGGCTTTGTGGTGAAGGGCAAGGAGAACTATGTTTGCAAGTTGAAGAAGAGCTTGTATGGCTTGAAACAAGCTCCAAGGCAATGGTACAAGAAGTTCGAGTCTGTGATGATCCAGCAAGGATATAAGAAGACTACTTCTAATTATTGTGCTTTTGTGCAGAAGTTCTCTGATAATGACTTCATTATTTTGTTGCTTTATGTTGATGATATGCTTATTGTTGGTCATAACTCTTCGAGAATTGTAGAATTGAAAACAAAGCTTAGTAAGTCCTTTGCGATGAAGGACTTGGGACCAGCAAAACAGATTCTTGGCATGCAGATTACACGTGACAGAGAGGCAAGAAAGCTATGGTTGTCTCAGGAGAAGTACATTGAAAAGGTGCTTCAACGATTTCATATGGAAAAAGCTAAAGTGGTTAGCACACCTCTTGCTACACACTTTAAGCTTAGCTCTAGACAGTCCCCATATAATGATGCTGAGAAGGCAGAGATGCGACGTATTCCTTATGCATCTGCAGTAGGAAGTTTGATGTATGCAATGGTTTGCACAAGGCCTGATCTAGCATATGCAGTTGGTATAGTTAGCCGCTTCCTTTCTAATCCAGGTAAGGAGCATTGGAATGCAGTGAAGTGGATTATGAGATATCTCCGAGGCACATCCAGTTTGAAACTTTGTTTTGGAACTGGAAAACCTGTTTTGAATGTTTATATAGATTCTGATATGGCTGGAGATATTGATACCAGGAAGTCTACATCTGGTTATTTGGTTACCTTTGCAGGTGAGCTGTTTCATGGCAATCTAAGCTTCAGAAATGTGTTGCGTTGTCCACAACAGAGGCCGAGTTCATTGCAGCTACAGAAGCTTGTAAAGAGCTACTTTGGATGAAGAAATATCTTCGTGAACTTGGCATTATTCAGAAGAGGTATGTCTTATATTGCGATAGTCAGAGTGCTATACATCTTAGCAAAAATCCTACTTTCCATGGCAAATCTAAACATATTGATGTACGTTATCATTGGATTCGAGATGTGCTTGATCTCAAGTTATTGGAGTTTGAAAAGATTCACACAGATGATAATGGTTCTGATATGATGACTAAGGCTTTGCCAAAGGGGAAGTTTGAAACTTGTTGTTTGA